GTGTGGCAGGTAAACAAACCGGCCTGGCCCGCCAGGGGTTTTCCCTACACAAGCGGTGGAACAAGTTTGGGAAACACTGGTCTAGCCTATTCTAGAAAAGGTTTTCTGGTATACCTATACTGGCAAACCCTTCCAGTGTAGACATAACTTCTATCAGCAAAAAAAAGTGCTTTTAGTGGTACGGCTTATACCAGTTCCCTAAATGAAATAAGCTATCTTGGCAAAAAGCACTTTTTGCTGGTATAATTGTCTATACAAGGGCTTTTGCCAGTATAGAAATGTCATTAAAAATATCACATCTTTAGCTGACATTACTATACCAGCAAAAATTTCTAGTGTAGACCTAGTCTTATACATGGCTAACTTCAGTGGGACTACTAGTATAAGCAAACCCAGCAGATTTGGCTTCTTATGTTAAACTGTAATTTTCTAAATCCAAAAGGATTTACTGTATCCTTTTTTTAATTCTTCCTTGGTGTAACTCCATGAAGCCACCAACCTGACACTGTTTCACCTCTTCAGCCTAGTGGGGTATTTGTTTCCAGAACTAGTTTTTTCCTGTGTTTATACTTGCTGCAAAATCAGTGTTGGGGTAAATAGATTATACGATACCAGCAACAGGGTCAGCAGTGGCAGCAATGGTTCCCCTATATGTCTGTCTATCTTGTTTTTCATGTGTGATCAACGCTGAATGTGAAACTCAGTATGAAAAAGGAAAGTCATTCTCCCTGCTGCCGTTTTAAATTTGTGGGTAAAACCTTTCATGATCTATAATTCTTTTACCTCTTTTTTTCCACCTTCATTTATAAAGCACGTGCATTTGCATGTGCAGTTGCTTTAAAGCCAAGCAACTTCTTTAAAGACATTAAAATGAAAAATGACAAAAGTGAACCTGTATAAATAAAGAAATCTATTTGGACGATGCTGCATATAAAACTAGTATATATGCTTAGTAAGGAAGATACTGACGGAAAATCTCTTGAAAGAATAAAAAAAATTGTCTTAATAACCTTGTCATGGGGTAGTGGTAAATAGCTACAGATCAAAGGGGGAAGGTGGTGACAAGTGGAGTACTGCACAGATTGTGCCAAATTCCATCTTGTTCCTACAGCATTGGCCATGTGAGGGAAGGAATGTGCAGAAAGGTGTGTTCATAGCTGTAGCTGATACAGAATTGGGCATGTCAGTCAATGCCAAAGGAGAAGCAGTGAGTTTCAAATGTATTAGATTATATGGGGTCATGGAATTCCAAATGGCACATTCCCCTTGTCATTTATGACTCTGCTTACATTTTAGTTTTTCTCATATCTTGTTCATCGCTCAGCAGAAAATGCTTTTATAGGAGTCAGAGTAGCAGCCGTGTTAGTCTGTATCCGCAAAAAGAAGAACAGGAGTACTTGTGGCACCTTAGAGACTAACAATTTTATTAGAGCAAAAGCTTTGGTGCACAAACGCCCATTTCTTCCACCCAAAGAAGTGGCCTGTACCCCACGAAAGC